ACACACAGACACACACAGTCACACACAGACACACACAGACACACACAGACACACACAGACACATACAGACACAGACAGACACAGACAGACACACACAGACACACACAGACACACACAGACACTCACAGACACACACAGACACACACAGACACTCACAGAAACACACACAGACACACACAGACACACACAGACACACACAGACACACACACACAGACACACACAGACACACACAGACACACACACAGACACAGACACAGACAGACACACACAGACACACACAGACACACACAGACACACACAGACACACACATATACACACAGACACACATAGACACACACAGACACACACAGACACACACAGGCACCCACAGACACACACAGACACAGCAACACCCACAGACACACACAACAACACACACACACAACCACACAGACCACACACAGACACTACACAAACCCACACAGACACACACAGACACACAGACACACACAGACACAAAGACACACAGACACACAGACACACAGACAACACTGACACAAAAGGACACACAGCACACAGACACACAGACACACAGACACGCAGACTCACAGACACACAATGAACACACACAGACACACACAGACACACTCAGACACACACTTGGAAACACCAGACACACACAGACAACACTGACACACCAGACACACACACAGACACACACAGACACACACAGACACACACAGACACACACAGACACACACACACACACACAGACACACACAGACACACACAGACACACACAGACACACACAGACACACACAGACACACACAGACACACACAGACACACACACACACAGACACACACACAGACACACACACACAGACACACAGACACACAGACACACAGACACACAGACACACAGACACACAGACACACAGACACACAGACACACAGACACACAGACACACAGACACACAGACACACACACACAGACACACAGACACACAGACACACAGACACACAGACACACAGACACACAGACACACAGACACACAGACACACAGACACACACACACACAAAAAACACAGTCTGTAGGAAAAACACAAAGTGTGTGTGTTGTGTATGTTTTTGTTTCCCACGGTGTGTGTGTGTGTGTTGTTTCCCACAGTGTGTGCGTGTGTGTGTGTGTGTGTGTTTTTTTTTTTGTGTGTGTGTGTGTGTGTTTTTGTCCCCACGTGTTTTTTTTGAGTTTTTTTCCCACGGGCGTTTCTCGGGTGCGGGGTTCGAGGCCTTCGGGGGCGGCGCCGTGGCTGCTCGGCGGCAGCCTCGGGCTGCGCTCCAGCGGCCGCGCCTCTCCGAGGGCGCTCCGGGGTCGCCCGGATCGTTCTCTGGACGGCCACTGGAGAGCCGAGGCTTGACCGCAAGACCACCAGGTGTCTGAGCAGGCCCGCCTCTTCTCTCACTTCCCCCCCTCGCTCGCCGCCGACCAGGGTGCTGCCAGGTTTTTCGCGCCATTGTGGGGCTTCTGGGCCTCGAGCCTAGGCCTCCCGGGGGTCGGAGTGGAGGGGTCCGGAGGATCGCGCCGCATCGCCGATGCGGCTCGCTATGGGGCCCGATTCCTTCCAAGCCAACAGCGCCGATGCGTCGCCCACGTCGCTTGTGCGTCGCCGATGTATCGCCGACGTATCGGCGATGCGGCGCGATCCTCCGACTCCATCTGCTCGGGCTCCATCTGGACGGCCTCCATCGTGATGGGGGTGCTCTGGAAGCCACCTGCGCCTCCCCGGGAAAAGCTGGGGTCATCCGGGGCCAGTGCCTCTTCCAGCAGCACCCGGCCAGAAGTACCTCTTCTGGGCGGCCGCGGCGATCGCTGGCCTGCCCTTCGTGGCGGCCGAGATGCGCCTGCACATGCCGGAGAGGGGAAAGAGCTGCGTGGGCACATGCTTTTTCGGGGCTCCGCGCGGGTTTCCGAAGTCTGCGCTGGGCCCCCCCCCTGGCGGCGTCCCCCGGCGCCGCCCACGGCGCGCTCCGCGCGCCAGGGAGGGGGCTCCAGCGCCGATCCGAAGAGTACGTCTGCCAGGAGCGAACGAAGGATGTGCACGTGCATGGAGTACGCACTGCGCGAACGTCCGTATCACGAGGCTGGCCTCGCGGACTGGGGGGGGTCGTATTCGCGTGCGTGCTTGGGCGCGCACGTCCTTTGTGGGCCTCCCCACGCGTGAACCTCGGAGAGCTTATGCCTGTGCAGTTACCTCTAGAAGTCTATAGTTTTGACGCCCCCCCCCTGAAGCTCTCGGCGGTGAATACAGTGGCCCTCCCTCCTCCCTCCCTCCTCCTCCTCCTCATAAATACTCTTTGCGTTTGTTCCCTTCTCCCGACATGGGCGTTTCTGGCGTGGTGGACGCGGGGCTCTGCACCATCATAGACAGCTTCGGCTGCAAACCTTGGGGGCCTCGTGTGTCCTCGAGGTCTCCTTTGAGGGGACCCGGCACTGGTTCTGGCCAGCCGGAAGGGCAGTCAGGTCCGAGCTTCCGCACGGGAAGTTTTTTTGTTGTTGTTTGTTTTTTATGTTGTTTGTTTTTTGTTGTTCTTTGTTTTTCGTTGTTATTGTTGTTTGTTGTCTTTTATCGTTCGGCCTTTGAGGGCCCTTTTCGGGCCCTGAGACCGTGAAAAACGGATCCAGGGTGAACAACTGTACCAGACTGACCCGGGGAGGGGTCGAGGGACCGATTTTGAGCGGATTTGGCCTCATCCTGGCGGAATTTCTGGGGTCCCAACCAGTTAAGGCCCCCCTTCCGCCTCCAACTTGCATGTCCTCGAAATTCAATATTTAGAGTGCATTCTCGTGCGTTAGCGCCGATTTTGGCGTCGATCAGCGTCGACTAGCGTCGGTCAGCATCTGTTGGCGTCGATTCGAAAGAGCCAGCAAGATGGCATTGGAGGCTCCCATGAGTTGCCACCGAACGACATCCTCGACGACGACATCGACGGCGAGTACGCCCTGGTCGGGGTCGAGCGGGGCGAGGACGCCGACCTCTCCTCGCTGCTGGGCCTGGTGGTGGACTCGCTGCGGACGCACCAGGGCGTGCAGGAGGTGCAGTTCAGAGGGGGTCACTGCATGCGGGCGACGTCAACTGACCACCTCATCGATCCTGGTCGGGCCCACCTAGGATCGGTGCATAGGCCCTCCTGGCTTGTCCAGGATCCTGCTGGAGATCCGACGTTGCGAAAAAGCTTTACAGTCGCGAAAAGTAGCGACCGGAGCCCTGGACCCCGACTCTCTGCGCCATATTTCGGGCCGGATCCATTTGTGTTGTCCCCGGCTCCCGAAGCCAGGCGATCGCGCCCGGCGTGAAACCATTGCGACGCCCGGACTTGTTGTTTTTGGAAGCGGCAGGGACATTTTCTAACCGTTTCCATGAATATAGATGTTAGCCAGCGTGGGCCCCAAACAGTGCTTTCTAGCGTATTGTGCAGTGCAATCTATGCGGTGCAATCTATGCAGTGCATCTCACTTGTGGAACTCGCAGTTGTCAATTCCACTGTTCGCGCAATCATCCCACCCACCCGCTCACCCGCAACTTGTTTTGCAAAACACATGCGGCGGCGATTGCGATGAGTGCTTGCTGTTGGCTGGTGCATCTCTGCGGCCGCGCTAGCCCACGCATGCTCGCACGCGCAGCGGCCAGCTAGTTTGGCGTGACCGACGCGGCCGCGGTGGCGCTGACTTCTGGGCACTTTCCAGCGGTCACTCCAGTGCCAGTCGGCCACTTGGGCGGGCGCGGTATCATGGCAACATCGACAACGGTAACCACGATGATGATCCTGGCGACGCTGGTGACGATGATGACAAGGGCGACGGCACGGCCAGTGACGACGCCGATGCTGATCACGCCGACGACGATGATGGCGCCCTCGTGTCGGTGATGGAAGTTCTGGAAGCAGTTCGACATGCGCCCGTTGCCGACGCGCTAGATTGGCCCGCGTGCTATTATTTGACACGGATCGTGCCCCCCCCCAGCACGCGCGCAACGGCGTTCGAATGATGTCGACATGCGGCGTAAACAGGCCCAGTTGGTAGACTCCAGTGGAAGTTCTGAATAACGTATGTTTTCTGGAGGATTCGCAAGGGGGCGAGCGCAGTGGCGTTGCAAAGCCATGTTTTTTTGGGCATGTTTTCGGGCCTTTGAATTCCCCACGACACCAGAAGAAAGGTTGTTGAAAGGATTTCGGCATGCGCGCGCGACGTCGCGCGCGTGTGCGTTTCGTCCCGTTTTTTGCAAGGAGTTCTGGCGACAGCGCGCGCGCAAGGCGATTGCCAAGACTGGTGGGCGCTGACGGCGCATCGCTGCGGCCGCGCAAGCGCGCAGGCTCGCGCGCAGAGTGGCCTGCAGACTTGCGCCGCCGACGCGTCCGCGGTGGCGCTGGCCGCTGGGCGCTTCCCAGCGCGTCTCGCAGGCCGCGCTGACGCGCGGGCACTTCATGTGCGAGTCGATGATTCGGGTGGGCGCGGTATCACGGCGACAAACGCGATGATGATTGCATCGATTCTAGTGGCGACGATGACGATGATGACGGCAAGGCGCATGGCGGTGCCGATGCTCATGGCGCCGATGACGATGCTGGTGTCCTCGCGTCGGCGACGAAGGTTTCGGACAGATTTCGACGCGCGCGTGCGGCTGGCGGGCCCGAGTGGCCCGCCCGTGTGAACTGAGGCGTCGCGCCCCCCGCCCCCCCATCAGCGCGTGCGCAATGGCGTTCGAATGATTTGACACGCGCGCGCGATAGGACCGCCGCGTCGCATGTGATGATCATGTTGGAAACATGGGTTTCTTAAGATCTTAAGAATTCGCAAAAAGCGCGCAGACTTTGATTCGGAATAACATGTGGCAAAACAATTTTTTTGGTTTGAATCTTTTCACGGAACCGGCATTTTTTTCACAGGATTTCGGCATGCGCGCGCGACGACGCGCGCCCGTTCCTTTCGTGCCTTTTTTTGCGATGGGTTCTTGCGCATTGATGATATGATGATTGATGAACGAATGTGCGCGCAATGTGTGCTTTCGCAGAGGAGGGGGGGGAGTGGCTTGGCTGGGGCGGTATGGGCTCATGTGCAGAATGCGCGATGGAGGAGAATCGCAAGAAATTGTTCACCCTCGGGCGGGGGGATAATCCCCGGGGGTGGGATGGGTCTTATTTTTGTTTTAGAGAGGATTCTATGTGGTGCAGTGTTTGCGGTGCGATCTCTTCGGAATAAACTATGCGGTGTAACCTATGTGATGCAATATTTGTGGTGCAATGTATCTGGTGCAATTGACTACCCTGCACCGCGCCGGACCACCTCCACTGCTCGCGCAAACATCCCACCTACCCACCCGCAACTTGGTCGCAAGACTTCTTAAGACAAGACCGTGACGGTAGGTACCACATGGCACTTTGCCACGACACCGACGCCGACGACGACAGCGACAACGACGACGGCGCCGCCGACACCGACTACGACGACACCGCCGACGTCGACGTCGACGACGACGACGCCGACGACGACGACGAAGACGACGACGACGTCGCCAACGAAGACGACGACGAGGGGGGAAGGAGGACGACGACGGCGACAACGACGACAACGACTATGGAGAAGGGGTGACGGCGACGACGCGAACGACGAAGAAAGAGGAAGGACGGCGACGCCGACGACGACAACGACGAGGGAGGAAGGAAGACGACGACGACGACAACGACGTCGAAAATGACGACGACGGCGACGAAATAGGAGGGACGCCGACGAGATGCTGACGACGGACGACGACGACGACGGGGGAGGAGTGAAGACGACGACGACGACGACGACGACGACGACGACGGCGACGAAATAGGAGGGACAAAAACGAAACGCCGACGAAGACGACGAGGGAGGAAAGACGACCACGGCGACAACGACGACGGAAGCGACGACGACGCCAAGACGACGACGACGAGGAAAGACAGAAGACGACGACGGCGACGACGACGACGACGTCGACGACGAGGGGACAGGGAGGACTACGACGACGACGCAAGAGCGCGCGCGCACGCTTATGTTGAAAATCCATGTTGCGAAACCTTGTGTTTTTGTAGGTCTTTTGGAAACGATTTTGAAATCCTTCCGAAACCGATGGGTTTTGAAGGTTTTCGGCGTACGCGCGCGACGACGCGCGCGTCTGCACTTCGTCCCGTTTTCTGCAGAGGATTTTCGCAACGGCACACGCGCAAGGGCGTTCGACAGATTTCGACATGCGCGCGCGAAGCCCGTTCAAGATGATTTTGTGAAAATCTTGAAAACCTACGCGGAAGCTTTTTTAGCAAATCAGTGTTGCGAAACCATATGTTTTTGAATGTTTTTTTTGAAAGTTCGATTGCGAAATCCTTCCGGCACCGAAGGTTTTTGAAGGATTTCGGCATGCGCGCGCGACGGCGCGCGCGTCTGCACTTCGTCACACTTTTGCAAGGGATTCGAGAAACAAGTGTTATGTTAGAACAACAAATGTCACCGCATTTTTTCTTTTAGAAAAAAAAAACCAGGGACCTTCAGGGGGGGGATACCGGCCCCCCTGGGATGGTGTAGGTTCATATTTAGGATGGGCATGTGGTCAGAATCGTATGTGATTCACATACCCGAAAGGGGGAGTGATAACGCCGGGGGGGGAGGACCTATTCTGTTTTGAGAAAGGAGAATCTACGTGGCGCAATAAGGTTGGAATGGTTTTGTTCGCAGTGAGTTATGAGTTCCATTGCTCGCGCAATCATCCCACTCGCCTGCCCGCAACTCGATTTGCAAACCCATGAAGGGGGCAATTGTGATGCCTGCCTGGTGCTGGCTGGAGCATCGCCGCGCCTGCGCTAGCGCGCGCAAGGCGGCCAGCTAGTCTGCCGCGACCGCGGTGGCGCTGGCCGCCGGGGATTTCCCGGCGCTGCTAACGGGTTTTGCTGACGCGCGGGAACTTCAGTGCGAGTCGAAGACTTGCGCGGGCGTTGTATCATGGCGACGTCGACGACGGGAAGCGCAGCGATGATAGTAGCGATGACGGTGGCGGCGATGGTGGCGATGATGACGGCGAGGCCAATGACTGCGCCTATGCTGATCGCGCCGATGACGGGGATGGTGTCCTCGCGTCGGCGATGGCGGTGTTCTGTGCAGATTTCGACGCGCGCTCGCGGCCGACGCGCGCGAGCGGCCTGCATGATACTATTTGACAAATCGTGCCCCCCCAGAATGCTCGCAATGGCGTCCGAATGATTTCGACATGTGCGCGCGAGAGGCCCGCCTGGTCGCACTTGATGAACATGTTGGCCAATCTTGTTCTTCTCAAGAGTTTATAACACGACGCGCGCAGACCTTGTCTCGAAAACCGATGTTGCACAACTTTTTTGTTTTACAATAGGTTGTCGGTGTGCCCGACTTTGCAATCTTTGCGACTCATATGGTCTTTTTGAAGAATCCCGGCGTGCGCGCGCGACGACGCACGCGTGTGCCTGTCGTTCGAATGCTTGCAACGGGTTCATGTATTTTTGTCATGCGCGAGTGTGCGCGGGTAGTTGTTTTGCAGAGGATTGTGGGGCGGGGGGTCGGACGATAGTGTGCAATTTCATGTGCGTTCCGCAGCCCCGCGGCGGGGGGGTACCCCTGGGTGGTGGTTGTGATGGTAGGTCTTAATTCTTCGTTTAGAAAGGAGAAGGTGCGTGGTGCAGCATTGCAATGCGCGTGGTGCAATTCACTTGCCGATCTTGAAGTTGTCGACTCCACTTTTCGCGCAGTCATCCCACCCGCCCACCCGCAACTTTGTTTGCAAAACCCATGCAACGGCGATTGCGATGAGTGCTTGGCATTGGCTGGTGCATCTCTTCGGCCGCGCTAACCCGCGCGTGGTCGCGCGCGCAGCGGCCAGTTAATCTGGCGCGACCGACGCGAACGCGGTGGCGCTGACCTTTCGGCACATCCCAGCGGGCACTTCAGTGCGAGTCGGCGACTTGGGCGGGCGCGGTAGCATGGCGACGTCGACAACGGTAGACGCGATGATGATAGTAGCGATGATGGTGGCGACGCTGACGGCGACGACGGGGCAGCCAGTGACGGCGCCAACGCTGATCACGACGACGACGATGACGGCGTCTTCGCGTCGGTGATGAAGGTATTGGAAGGAATTTGAAATGCGCGCGCGGCAAACGCGCGAAAGTGGCTCGCATGGTATTATGTGGCGGCCCGCTTGGTAGCATTTTATGAACATGTTGAAAACTCATGGTTTTCATCGGAATTCGCAAGAGCGCGCGCGCTTGTGTTGAATCCGTGTTGCGCGCGTGTGCCTCCGCCCTTTTTTTTGCAACGGGTTCTTGACATTTATGATTGTTGATCAACGAACATGCGCGTTGTATTTTTTGCCAGGGAACCAAAGGGGGGCCAATGCCGCCCTCGCTGGAATCGCATGACTTCACAGGTAGGATGGACATTTGGGTCAGGATCGCATGTGTTTTGCATCGGTTCACTTGGAGTCGACAAGTCGGGGGGGGGGCTAAATCTTTGTCAGTCAGGAAAATAGCGGTGGTGTATTCTAACCGGGGCTATTCACCAATGCTCGCAGCGACTTGTGAATTCCACCGCTCGCGCAATCGCCCCGCTTGCCAGCCCGCAACTTGGTTTGCAAAACCCATGCGACGGCGATTGCGGTGAGTGCTTGGCGTTGGCTGGTGCATCTCTGCGGCCGCGCTAACCCGCGCGTGGTCGCGCGCGCGCAGCGGCCAATTAGTGCGGCGCGACCGACGCGGCTGCGGTGGCGCTGACCTCTCGGCGCGTCCCATCGGGCACGTCAATGCGAGCCGGTAAGTTGGGCGGGTGCGGTATCATGGCGACGCCGACAACTGCAGACACGATGATGGGAGTAGCGATGATGGTGGCGATAGTTGCGATGACGACGGCAAGGCTAATAACGGAGCCGATGTTGACCATGCCCGCCGATAACGATAACGATGTCTTCGCGTCGGTGGTGAAGGTTTTGAGAAGAGTTCGACATGCGCGCGCAGCCGACGCGCGCGACTGGCCCGCGTGGTATTATTTGACACGGGTCGCGCCCCCCCCAAACACTCGCGCACGGGCGTTCGGACGAAGTCGACATGCGCCGTGCAAGGCCTGTTCGGAATAACGTGATGGCGCATTTGAGAATCCGCTGGTTTTAGAATTCGCAAAAGCGCGTGCAGTGCATCTTCTTGTTTTCAGAACTGATGTTGTAAAACAATGTGTTTAGATATGTTCCTGGGACATGCGTTCTTGATGCCCTGACGCAACCTAAGGTTTTCGAATAATGTCGGCATGCGCGCGCGACGACGTGCACGCGTGCACTTGGTCACGTCTTTTGCAGCAAGGGTCTTTGCGACAGCGCGCGCGTAAGGTCGTTCGAACGATTTCGACATGCTTGCGTGATTACATGTTGAACAACAACATGGTCGTCGTAATAATCTGAAAGAAAGCATTGTTTTCCTTCCTCCCCCAAGTCCTTCTCTCCATACGTATCTATATACATATTTGTATACACGTATATATACGTGTATATATATACACGTGTATATGGGTACATATATATATATATATATATATATATATATATATATATTATATATATATATATATATATATCATTTCAATTCGTGACATTCGGTTTTATATTTTGACGTTGTTGTTGAAGAAAAACGTTTTCTGCATTCAAGCGCGCGACGACGCCCCTGTGTGCCTTCCGCATTCTTTTTGCATGGGATTTTTGACAACTGTTGGATTTTGATGAACGAGTGTGTGCGCATTTCTTGTTGCAGAAAATGGAGGGGGGAAGCCGGTTTAGCTGGGATTCTATGAGTTCACAGTCAGGATTGACGATGGTGCAGATCCGTATGTAGTTTGCACATCTCCAGGGGGAACCCAAACGTCCGGGGGGGCGATCCTTTTTTGTTGTAAAACATGACATATGTATCTACATAATTTTTATGTATTATTGTTATTATTAATATTATTGTTATATATATATATATATGTATGTATGTGTGTGTAAATATATGTATATAGGTATATGTGTATATATGTATATATGTATATATACATACATACATATAAGAGAATCTAAACAATGCGATCTACGCAGTGCAATTTGCATTATGAATGGTGCAATCTAATCCGTGGCAGTGGCGACGGGCGACGACGGCGGCAACAAACGCGGGTGACCGCCAGCCAGCCCCAGAAACAGCGGCGACGGACGGCGGCGACGGGGCGGCGACGGCGACAACGAGCGCGGCAGACCGCCAGCCAGGCCCACACGACGGGCGCGGCGACGGGGTGGAAACGGCGACAACATAGCCGCCAGACTGCCAGCCAGCCAGGCCCAACTCTTCAGAAAACAAATGATAATCCTGAAGTTAACATCGACACGATGTGTGTGTGTGTGTGTGTGGAATCTGGAAGATGGAAACGGTAGGCAAAAACGGTTCGCCGAAACGGAAATGACAACGGCTGTGGGATCGAAGTTGGGGCCAGATTTCGAACAAAAACAAAGTCGACGGAACCGAAAAACAAAATTCCGCGCCAGAGCCGCAAACACATTTGCCATGTCGTTTCCAAGATTGGCGGCGAGACTGATGGGAAGGGAGAGAGAGGGAACCTTTTCAGAAGGCTCGAAGCGCATGGGGCCGTCCGAGAAGTCATCTTGGCCTTCCCCGAGGTCGCAGGAAACTTCTCAGAGGCCCTCCCCCATCTCACTTCCCCCCCTTCTCTCGCCGCCGGCCACAAGCCCGGAGCGCCAGGATCTGGCCCGCCCACAAAAACCTGGTGTACCATACCCACGAGTCCCAGGGTGTGCGTGTGTGTGTGTGTGTGTGTGTGTGTGTGTGTGTGTGTGCGACGAGGGCCTCTGTCGCGGGAATTGGGGCGCCACGTTCCCTCTCTGGGGCGTGGTGCTCCGTGCTCGGAACGTGGCCCCTCGGGGTGGGATCTGCCTTGGGCGGGGAGGGCGCGGCATCCCCGAAAACAGTTGAGGATCCGCGGGCGGCCAGGCTCGTTGCCGTGGCCAGCGGGCGAGCCGCCCGCCGCCTCGCGCTGCTCGTGCCCCTCGCGCCGGAGGCCGCCCTCCGCGGCGCGGCGCCCGCGGCCGCGGCCGCGGTGGTGGCCGCGGCGCGGCGCTTCCCGCGCCGGCACGACGTGGTCGGGGGCGCCTGCGCCGCGCTGCGGGCGCTGTGCTCGCTGCCGAGGTCGGCTGCGCGCGAGAGCGGCCTCCCCTCGGAGGGACCTCCTGGAGCGCGGCCGCGGCCGGAGGGGGCCCCGCAGATCGCCGCACGCGGTGCGAGAGCATCATGGTGTCCCGAGCTACTCCTGGCCCCGACCGCCAGAGAGGGCTCGGAGCGCCAGGAAGGTACTCACACCAGAGGGTTTTCTTCACGTGCTGGGCCCTGGGAGGCGATACTCGTTCGACGCTTCGCCAGCGTGTCGGGCAGACACTGTTTCGATGCTCTCTTCCTGGTGCTCGAAATTCTTTCTGGGATGTGGTCCTGATGAGCACGATGAGAGCATCATAACCATAGCATCGGCTTGCGTGCCTGGTGGTGTCCCCGAATGGGCCCCCCCCCCTCTGGGGCCGCGCGCCACAGGTCACTCTTGCCCAGGGCCACTCTCCTTGCGTGTAGCCGACGAGGCCCCCTGGCGGCCCGGCCGAGCCGCTCGGAGCGGCGCTGGCCGAGGAGCCTCCCGGGGAGAGGACGGGACGGACCACCCGCATAGTGAGGGCGGGCAACCTTCCCAAGGGCACCCTGGCACCCTTGCTCTCCTCGGTCCATCCCCGGCCACTCGTTGGCCGCGCCCCGCTCGAAAAGCTTCGCGACGGCCTTCCGAGGCCCTTGCACCCGTACCGTGCGTCCTCATGATGGGGGTCGCCTGCACGCCCCGGGCAGCCCTCCCCTCCCCTCGAGCTCTCGCGCCTCGAGCCCAAGCGGCAACAGCAGCTCGGCGGCGTGACGACCCCGGCGTCGGTTGCCGTCGCCGCGCGGGGTCGTCCAGCCCTGAGCGGTGGCCGATCGCCGCTGCTCGTCCTGGCGAGTTCTCGTCGCCACGGCTGGGCTCGCCTCGAGCCCCTGGCCAGGACGCGCCCCTGGGGAGGTCCGAGGCCGACCGAGCGCGAGCGACCACGTCGCGGCCGAGCTGGCCGAGCCGTGAGAACGCCCCTTGGTCTCTCGTGCTCTAGCGTTTAAGTCGGGCTTGTCCCTCTACAGTTTTTTTTCTTTCCAAACAGCGAAGACTGATAGGTTTCTAGTAGTGTCAAAAGAGAGCATCTTGACTCCCCAGGGGGGTCTGGGCGGGTGCCGGGGAGAAGCCGCGGAAGTCGTTTTAAGCAAACAGTTACACACTTCGTGATCTTCGAGGTCCCAGAACTCCATTCCTGGGCATGATTTTGAATGCCCGGAGCCAACTGTAGGCCCGGAGCCAACTGTAGGCCACTTCGTGGTCTTCGAATTCCCAGAACTCCATTCTCGGGCCACATTCTGAATGCCCGGAGCCAACTGTAGGCCACTTCGTGGTCTTCGAATTCCCAGAACTCCATTCCCGGGCCACATTCTGAATGCCCGGAGCCAACTGTAGGCCACTTTGTGGTCTTCGAATTCCCAAAACTCCAGTCCTGGGCATGATTTTGAATGCCCGGAGCCAACTGTAGGCCACTTCGTGATCTTCGAGTTCCCAGAACTCCATTCCCGGGCCACATTTGAATGCTGAGGCAGGCTGATGCTGAGGCTGAGGCAGGCTGAGGCTGAGGCAGGCTGAGGCTGAGGCTGAGGCTGAGGCTGAGGCTGAGGCAGACTGAGGCTGAGGCTGAGGCTGAGCAGGCTGAGGCTGAGGCTGAGGCAGGCTGAGGCTGAGGCTGAGGCAGGCTGATGCTGAGGCAGGCTGAGGCTGAGGCTGAGGCTGATGCAGGCTGAGGCTGAGGCAGGCTGAGGCTGAGGCCGAGGCTGAGGCAGACTGATGCTGAGGCTGAAGCAGGCTGAGGCTGAGGCTGAGGCAGGCTGAGGAGGCAGGCTGAGGCTGAGGCGAGGCTGAAGGCAGACTGAGGCTGAGGCTGAAGCAGGCTGAGGCTGAGGCTGAGGCTGAGGCTGAGGCAGGCTGAGGCTGAGGCAGGCTGAGGCTGAGGCTGAGGCTGATGCAGGCTGAGGCTGAGGCAGGCTGAGGCTGAGGCCGAGGCTGAAGGCAGACTGAGGCTGAGGCTGAAGCAGGCTGAGGCTGAGGCTGAGGAGGCAGGCTGAGGCTGAGGCTGAGGCAGGCTGATGCTGAGGCAGGCTGAGGCTGAGGCTGAGGCTGATGCAGGCTGAGGCTGAGGCAGGCTGAGGCTGAGGCCGAGGCTGAAGGCAGACTGAGGCTGAGGCTGAAGCAGGCTGAGGCTGAGGCTGAGGCAGGCTGAGGCTGAGGCTGAGGCAGGCTGATGCTGAGGCAGGCTGAGGCTGAGGCTGAGGCTGATGCAGGCTGAGGCTGAGGCAGGCTGAGGCTGAGGCCGAGGCTGAAGGCAGACTGAGGCTGAGGCTGAAGCAGGCTGAGGCTGAGGCTGAGGCAGGCTGAGGCTGAGGCTGAGGCAGGCTGATGCTGAGGCAGGCTGAGGCTGAGGCTGAGGCTGATGCAGGCTGAGGCTGAGGCAGGCTGAGGCTGAGGCCGAGGCTGAAGGCAGACTGAGGCTGAGGCTGAAGCAGGCTGAGGCTGAGGCTGAGGCAGGCTGAGGCTGAGGCTGAGGCTGAGGCAGGCTGAGGCTGAGGCTGAGGCTGATGCAGGCTGAGGCTGAGGCAGGCTGAGGCTGAGGCCGAGGCTGAAGGCAGACTGAGGCTGAGGCTGAAGCAGGCTGAGGCTGAGGCAGGCTGAGGCTGAGGCAGGCTGAGGCTGAGGCTGAGGCAGGCTGAGGCTGAGGCTGTGACTGCGACTGCCGTTGCCACTGCGACTGTCATCGCGAATGCGACTACGACTGCGAGAACAGCAGAATTCTACAACTGGATTCTCATCTGAATCTTAAGGGGAATGCTTCCAGATATGCTCCTACACATTGCTGTTAGGTTGCTTTGCCGTTTTTTTTTGTTTTTTTTTTTTGTTTTGTTTTTTGGTTTAAAAAGCCAGGGGACGTTTTTGTTTTTGATTTTTATGTTTGACATTTTTTTTGACAATGTTCGGTCCAAGATCCCCCCTGTGGGGGGACGCGCCCGACTTAACTCTGGCGGGGGTGTGCGACGGGAGCTCTCGGCTCCGGCGGCACGCGGAGCGCTCTGCGCGCGGGCAGCACGCCGCTCCGTGCCGCGGGGCGGGGCGGCTCGGCGCGCCCCTGGCCGAGGCGTCGGGTGCTGTCGGAGGCGGCCCTGCCCCAGCTTTGGATGCAGCTCCTGGGAGGTCAAGTTCTGATTTTGCCCTGGCCCGAAGTCCAGCTTCATCCCGCCTAATCCCGCCTAATCCCGCTTGATCCCGCTTGATCCCGCTTGATCCGAGGCCCGCTCTGGCGTAACAGCCCCCCAATGGGGCTTGAAATCTTCATTAATCCTTCCGGCGGAAACCTCCCATTCGTTGCCTCCTAACCCAACCCTGGGATCCTGGCGTTGCATTTTTTGCGCGTCGGCATTCTCGTCGGGTTTCGGGCCCATGTGCCTTGGAGGGCAGAGTGCACCTGCTTGTAGACGACCAAGTATCTCCAGTGCACACGCAAAATGCCGCTTTCACTTTCTAGCCACAAGCGTCTGTAGACAGATTGGGTGCCGTTACGTATGTAGACGCATGTGGGGTGGATGCGTCTATAGACAACGCGGCCGTCGCGTTCGGCGCAGTACCAGGTCGGAGAAATGGTAGATCCGTCTACGGTATGTTCCCAATTTAAAGCAGGTCCCACGTGGTACTCCAAGCCCTGCCCCAAGGTGGCCCCAGCTGTCTCAGGGAGGCGCAGATGGCTTCCAGAGCACCGCCCACGAAGCCCAGAGGGCCCCAGGGGCCCCGAAAGGGCGCGAAGAGCTGGAGGCCACTCCTGGGCCAGGGCCACTCCTGGCAGAGCACTCCCGCAGGAGGGCGCCGCGGAGTGTGTGGAGCAGGTGCTGCTCAACTTCGGCGGGGGCCGGGGCAGCAGCGAGCTCCTCGAGGACGCCGCGGCGTCCCTGGCCCTGCTCCGCGGCGTCGGCGCGGTGGTCGCGCGCGCCGGGGACTGGCCGCCGAGCAGCCCGCTGCGTGCCGCGGCGCTGAAGGCCCTCTTCGAGGTGTGCCGGGCGGACCCGCGGCTGCTGGCCGAGGACGCTTGCGAGCACGCGGCGGCGGCCTGCGCGAGGCTGTCCGCGGAGGAGGCCGACGACCCGGGCAGCCGCCTCCACGAGGTGGCCGCTCTGCTGTGCGGCCTCTGCTCCACCGTCGCTGGCGCGGCCGCTGCCGGCGCGTAGGTCGGCCGCCCCCGCCCCCGTGCCGGGGCTGGGGCTCTCCCTGGGAGGCCGCGGCAGAGCCCGCTCCCTCCCTGTACATACCGCGCCCGCGCGCGCGCGCACGGGAGCCCGGCACTCGCCACGCTTCGGGTCGGCCGCTCTCCTCGAGTTTAGGCCTCTTGGATGGGGTCGGAGTAGGTGGGGCCAGAGGATCGCTCCGCATCGCCCTCGATTTTCTCCACGCCGGCGTCGCCGATGCACCGCCGACGTCGCCGATGCATCGCCGATGCGGCGCGATCCTCCGACCCCATCTACTCGGACCCCATCAAGGAGGCCTCTACTCCTGGCCCTGGGTGCCCCCAGCTTTTTGTGCCTGCGCCATCTTGGACCCCCCTGGGGTACTTGCCACCGAGTGCGTGCCACAACGGGTCCACGATCGTGGCACGCGCGTGTGTAGCACGTCACCGATTGCCACCGCCTGCTCCCTGCGTGTGCTCGCCTTGGGCGGCGCGGGCTTTCAGCCACGCGCAGAGGGGGGGTAAGGGGAGGGGGGAAGGCCTGACCTTGACCTTGGGGCCCTCTTAGGACCCCTGGGCCTAGTGAGGGATGTCTGAGGCCTGGGAGTTACCACCAACCTTGTGAAGGAGCCAACCCGATGCAGCTGTGTGTTGCGCGCGCAGGGCGTGCCCCTCTCTTCGTGTGCACTGCGGTCAAGGGGCTGTGCAGAGCTCGTCCTCTTAGGGCGTGGCCGCGACTCCGAAAGTGTGTGTGTGTGTGTGTGTTTTGTCCTCTGCGCCCTGCACCCGCTTGGCTTTGTCTGCCCTGTGGCCGACTAAGTTTGTCTCATGTTGGGGTCTTCAGTTTTTGGCACAGTTCCACAAAAATGTAGGTAGTTGTCTTCTCACTGGCCGTGGTTGATGTTTCCGTTAGTTGGACCTCATTGCGCGTCGGAGGAAACATGTGCAATTTGTGTGTTCGTGTGTCTCAGTGTGTCTTCGTGTGTGTGTGTGTGTGTGCGTGTACGTGTGTGTATTTGTGGTACCGCCTGGTTGTTCTGCCCTGATGCTGCCAACCCGCGGTCTTCCGGTGGTCCTAGTTCTGTTACGCTGCTTTGCAAGGAAGCTAATTTGCCCTGTTGGTGACGCCTCATTGAATCCGCCGACTGGACACTTCGGCGCGTCGGATGAAAGCGCACTGTATGCTTGTCTGTGTATCTCGCCTGAAGGCTCAGCCGCGCGAACTCTGGTGCTGCAACCTTACTCCGCGCCTCCTCGCTGTGCGCGAGGCCGCGACCGCTAAGTGTGTGTGTGTGTGTGTGTTTGTGTGAGCGTGTGTGTGAGTGTGTCTGTGTGTCTTGTGCAGTGGTCGGCTTGCTGGACACCCAGTTCACTCTGCTTGTTTTTGCCCGCTTGCTCTCCGCCCGCTCGGGCTTCGGGTCTAAGCGCCCTTGCATAGTGCACGTTTTGCCGCTGTTGCCCACTCGGCTGGGCTCTTTCTCCTGCACGCCTACTCGCTCGGCGCAGCCCCCCCCCACACCTGCAACGTCTGGTGGAACTCACGATAGTTTGGGCCACATTCTATCACTCGCTACGGTGACTACACCTGGCCGGCGGGGGGAGGTGTGTGTGTGTGTGTGTGTGTGTGTGCGCTTGCATGCCTGTTTTTACATTGGCACTTTTGGCTGCCATCCTTTCTGTTATTGTATTGGTTTGGTTTTTTGGGGGCCAGATCTAGGCTCCTGTGGCCGTCAACACACGGCCTGCGACGACAAAGCGGCGCGGGCTGGGCACGATTATGAAGCAGAGAACGAAAGTGCCCGATTGTGAAGGAAACGAGGGGCGAAGAGGGGAGAGAGGGAAGGGAAGAATGACGAGGCATAGGGGGGAATGGCAAGTATAGAGGCTGCTCGGAGTGCTCAGATGTTCCTCGACACAACGTAGACTGCAGATGCCCATTGCTGTCGCGGTAGCCCACGCCTGCGCTTGACAGTCCAATTCTTCGGCCCCCCTTCGTCATTGCAGACAACTCGCCTTACCAAGGAAGAAGTAGGCTTCTTATAGCTGCGAAGACATGCACCCTTGCTTTCTGTGCACTTCCAGCAGTTCTCACGACCTGGTTTGTTGAACAAGCGTTATCCATTTCCTTCGTGCGAGTAGAACTTGTACAGCCAAGTTCGTGAGTCATCAACCGCCATGAGCAGCTGCCTGCCGTGATGACGCGTGAAGATTTCATTATTGACCAATCCACACCAACCCAACCCGAAGGTCCCATAGCCCCCAACAGTTTGGGTTGGGATGCGTACGGGTTCCATCCTGTTTTCTCGATGTTCCGGAGCGTCCCCCCACTGAAAGTCGACAGGCCCAACGGCGACTTCTGCTTGGGCTGGGGTGGCTTGGTGGGTAAGTTCAGATCCTCCTGTCCCGCCCCCTGCGGTGCCAAGCGGGCGAGGGGGATCGCGTGCCCGTCGAAACCGCCCGCTGCTGACCCCCTTTGGGAGGAGGAGGAGGAGGAGGAGGAGGAGGAGGAGGAGGAGGAGGAGGAGGAGGAGGAGGAGGAGGAGGAGGAAGAGGAGCAGGAGGAGGAGGAGGAGGAGGGGGAGCCCCCCCCTCCTCACCCGATCCCCGCGCCCCGAGACCGCCCCGACCGCCCTCCGCCCAGACCGCCCGCCGCCCCGCGGCTGCGCACCAGCGCGGCCACCGCCCCTCCCCCCCCCCCCCTCGGGCAAGGGCCGCCCATGGCGGGCCCGGCGAGATGAGAGGGCAGGCCCCGGCGGGGCGGTGGAGGCTGCCCGAGCCGCTGGCCCAGGACGTGCCCCTCTGGCTCTTGGCCGTCTCCCTCCTCCTCCCCCAGCCTCCCCGCCCTCCTCTCCCTCTCCTGCACCTCCTCCCTCCCCGCGCCCTCCTTCGCCCTACCGCTCCCTCCTCCCTCCTCCGCCTCCGCCCCTCCCTTCCTTCTTCGCCTCTCCCTCCCTCCCTCCCTCCCCCCTTCATCCTCCGCTTCTTGCGCCTCCGCCTCCTCCCTCCGTTCTCCTCCGCATCCTCCGTCCTCCTCCGGCTCCTCCTGCTGCGTCCACGTCCCCCATCTTCCCCCCCGGCCTACTGACTTTTGTGGGCGCCAGGAAATTCTAGACGTTCCGCGTAACCCCACCATATCCTTGATGCCGCCTGACATTTTCCTCGCCGCGGTCGCGATCAACAAGTAACCCCACCAGCCGCCGCTTGCTCGTTGCGCCCTTGACGCCGCCCGACTTCTCTCGACGCGGTCGCGATCAAAAAGTAACCCCACCAGCCCATCCAGGAACGATGCCCACAGGAGTTGCCTCGATCAGGGAAGTGGGCAGCACGCAGAGGAAGGGTCCCCAAGTGGATTCTTGGAGCGTCTTGGGGGCCTCTTGCCGGTCCTGGAGGCCTCTTGGAGCGTCTTGGGTGCCTGGGGGAACTTCTTGGGGCCTCTTGGGGGTCTCTTGGGAATCTTTGGAGGCCTCCTGCGCGCCTCTTGGGGCCTCCTGGGCGCCTCTTGGGGCCCTCTTGAAGCGCTCTTGGGAGCCTTGGGAGCGCTCTTGGGGCCATTTTGGAGGACATCGATCAAACAAGAGGGGAGCTCATTTTAGCGTTGCCCCCCCAAGAGGCCAAAATGGGGCCAAAACCTTTGTAAGACCAATGATTTTGGCTTCGTCGCCGAGGCCGTTTTGGACGCCCTGACCGCTCGCGACCGGCTCCGTCCAGGTCCAGGGGAGGGGGTAGGGGGAGGGGTCAAGACACCCTCTCCGCACGCAAGCCGTCTAGCTCACTCCCACCCGCCCTCCCACTACATAAGTGGCATCCGAGTTTCGGCATAGCCAGAGGTCGCCACTAGATGGACAGCCACTGGGAGCCAAAGAGGACCCCAGGTGCGCGACGCTCGCCGCGGGCTCCATATGCGGTTGGCGTGCCATCCTGTAAAAAACGTGGTGCCCCCCGTCCGCATGGTCCAGATGCTGATGTGGGGGACGTCAGCCTTGTTCTGGGCCTTCGCACTGCAAGCATCATCATGCGGGCACCACCTGGCGCCCCTGTCAAAAAACAAACCACAGTGATCGCGGGTGGCCAGCACAATACCCTCGACTTTGTTGCAACGTGCACTTTGCATTGTTTTTGACACGGATGGTGGTCCTGCACAAATCGGCTTCACTAAGAGTGCCCCGCCTGTCAAAAAATAATACAACGTGCTCACAGGGCGCCAGCGCACTGTCCAGAAATTGCTGCAATGTGCACTTCGTATTGTTTTTTGACAGGGATTGTGGAGGGTGTTGGCAGAGTGGGCCCCGCAATGTGCGTTTTGTATTGTTTTTTGATAAGGATGGTGGGGGGCGGGCCCGCATGGTTCCGGGTTGGCTGCCCGGGGGAGGGGGTGTTCATTATTGGGGAAGAGTGATAAATTCTTCCCCGGAGGGGAAGAGGGAGGGGTGGAAGAGGAAACGCCCTAAACCACCTACGCCCAGAGGGCTGGTGGGACTCAGGGGACCCCCCTCCCTCTCCTGGGAGTTAGCTCGAGGGGTCACCGGCGCCGGCGCTCTTTGAGGCTTCAAGAGGTCCTTGGAGGTTTCCAGAGGCCCAGAGAGAGCCGGAAGCGTTTGACAGTTTTGGCATCCTCGTCCGCGTCGTGCTCCTCGTCCTGGTCCTCCTTGTCCTCCTGGGGCAGGGGGCATTGGGGTGTCTGAGGCCTTCATATGTTTACCCATGCAGGAATTTGGGGGGAGGATCGTGCCAGAGTAGCCGGATAGGCTATCTGGTCGGCTCAAACATCGTAAGCTGGCTGGGGCGTGCGATCTGAGATAGGCAATGAATTCTCCTACTCCCGCATCCTCCGCCTCCTTTTTCCTCTCACGCCTCCTGACGCTGACGCGGCGGGCGGGTCCAGGTCGAAGCCTCGGCGCCCTCGACCAACCCCTCCACCCGGGCCGACGCCGGGGGCAGGCGCGGAAAACAGCCCCTGCGATTGACAAGGAGGGCGTGCGGAGGACAGCGGCGACGAGGGAGAGGGTAATTCTACCAGGAGGAACGGTCGCCTCCTCCGCGTCTCGAGCCGGGAGCTCAGGAAGTCTTCCTCCTCCTCCTCCTCCTCCTCCTACTAGTAGTAGTAGTAGTAGTACTACTACTACTACTACCACCACCACTACTACTACTACTACTACTACTACTACTACTACTACTACTACTACTACTAGTACTACTACTACTACTACGACTACTACTACCACTACTACTATTACTACTACGACTAATATTATTACTACTACTACTACGACTACTACTGCTGCTGCTGCTGCTACTACTACTACTACTATTACGTTTACCATTACTAGTCTTACTGCCACTACTACTGCCTTTTTTTATTTTTAATTACTACTACTACTACCACTACTACTACTACTACTACTACTACTACTACTACTACTACTACTACTACTAGTACTACTACGACTACTACCACTACTACTACTACTACTGCTACTACTACTACAACTACTACTACTACTACTACTACGGCTACGACTGCTGCTACGACTACTACTACTGCCACTACTACTACTACTACTACTACTACTACTACTACTACTACTACTACTACTACTACTAGTACTCCTACTACTACTACTACTACTCCTACTACTACTACACCCATTTTTCTACTACTAATAGACGACTGCTACGACTACGACGACTACTCTTACTCCTACTCCTACTCCTCCTACGACTCCCACTTCTACTCCGACTCCTGCTCCTGCTCCTACCACCACTACTACTACTACTACTACTACTACTACTCCTATTGCTACTACTATCTTTACTACTACTACTACTACAACAGCTACTGCTACTACTACCACTACTACTACTACTACTACTACTCCTGCTGCTACTACTACTACTCCTACTACTACTACTACTACTACCACCACTACTACTACTACAACTACTACTACAACAAATACTACTACTACTACAACTACTACTACTACCACTACTACTACTACTACTACTACTACTACTACTACTACTACTACGACGACGACGACGACGACGACGACGACGACGACGACGACGACGACGACGACGACGACGACGACGACGGACGACGACGACGACGACGACGACGACGACGACGACGACTACTACTACTACTACTACTACTTCTACTATTGTTATTCTTACCACTAGTAGTAGTAGTAGTAGTAGTAGTAGTAGTAGTAGTAGTAGTCGTAGTCGTAGTAGTAGTAGTAGTAGTAGTAGTAGTAGTAGTAGTAGGAGTAGGAGTAGTAGTAGGGTCACCCGTCGTCTATGGCTGGCCTGTTTATGGCCGGTAATTTGGTTGAGTTTCTATACAGGTGTACGAGTACCAGATATAAAGCACGGGTCCTTCACACTTGACTTATGGCCGGCACGCTGTGAGGAATCCTAAGGCATCCTCAAGGAAGCTTGAGGAATTCTCGAGGAAACTTAACGAATTCCCTAGGAATCCTAAGGAATTCTTTAGGAATCCGAAGGAATTCCTTAGGAATCCAGAGTAATTCATCAGGAATCCGAAGGGATCCCTGAGGAGTCCTGAGGGATTCTCGAGGATTCCTAAGGACATCTTGGAATCCCAAGGATTTCTTCAGGAATCCCAAGGAAGCCTGCAGGAAACCTAAGGATTTTTCCAGGAAGCTTCACGGAATCCGAAGGAATCCTAAGGAATCCAGAAGGAATCTTAAGGACATCTGCAGGAATCCTTAGGAATCCTTGCGGAATCCGAAGGAAGTCTCAAGGAAATTTAAGGAATTTTCGAGAATCTCAAGGAAGTCTCCAGGAATCCAAAGGAATTCTAGAGGAATTTCAAGGAGTGCCAGAGGAATCCTTCGGAATTCTTTAGGAATCCCAAGGAATTCAATAGGAATCCCAAGGACTCTCGGAGGAATCTAAGGAATCTCGGAGGAATCCGGAGGAATTCACAAGGAACTCGTTGGAAGCCTCCAGGAATCTGAAGGAATCCCAAACGAATCCTAAGGAATCCTTGAGATCCCATAGGAATTCTCACGGAATCCTAAGGACTTCGTAAGGATTTCTTGGGAATTCTTTCAGAATCCTAAGGAAGTATCAAGGAATCCTAAGGAAGTCCCCAGGAACCTTAAGGAAGTCTCCAGGGCTCCCAAGGAAGTCTCCAGGAATCCTAAGGAGTTCCCAAGGAACCCCAAGGAATGCTCGAGGAATCCTAAGGAAGTCTCGGTGAATCTTAAGTTTCCTCGGTGAATCCTAAAGACTTGCCCCGAAGATTCCTAAGGAAGTCTCGAGGAGTCTGCAGGAATTCTCGAGACTGGGTATGCGCGTGGAGTTGAGGTAGCTCCGCAAGAGAGGAGATGACAGCAGCAACTGCGGTGGCCCATTGGTTTCCAATGGGGAAATACTTAAACGATTGGTTTCCCTAATTGGAGCCATTAGTTTCCAATAGAAAACTACTGAACACCATTGGTTTCCAATAGCAAGCTAATAAAAACCATTTGTTTCCAATAGGAAACAAATCAGAACCATTGGTTTCCTTAGTGGAAAACCATTGGTTTCCCAATAGAGAACTAATGAACACCATTGGCTTCTAATAGGAAACTATTGAAAACTATTGGTTTCCATTAGAAAGATGATATTAAACAGTTGGTTTCCAATTGGGAACTAATTAAAACCATTGGTTCCCAATAGAAAACTAGTAAAAAACATTGGTTCCCAATAGGAAACTAAAAAGAACCATTGGTTCCCAATAGAAGACGAATTAAAACCATTGGTTTCTAAGGGGGAGTTAATTGAAACCAGTGGTTCCCAATAGAAAACTAATAAACAACCGTTGGCTTCCAATAAAAAACCATTGGTTTCCAATAGAAAACTGATGAAAACGATTGGTTTCCAATAGAAAGCTAATAAACAACAAGTGGTTTCCAATAGAAAACCAATGAAAACCATTGGTTCCCAATAGAAAACTAATGGCAACAACTGGTTTCCATTAGGGAACTAATTAAAACCATTTGTTTCGAATCGAGAATTCGTTTAAACCAGTGCCTCCCAATAGAGAACTAGTGAAAACCATTGTTTTCCAATAGGAAACTAATTAAAACAATTGGTTTCCATTAGAAAACTCATAAAAACCATTGGTTCCCAATAGAAAAAGCTCATAAAAACCATTGGTTCCCAATAGAAAACTATTCAAGACCATTTGTTCCCAATAGAAAACTAATTAATATCATATAGGCGTTCAATAGAAAACGAAGCCAAACCATTCGTTTTCAATAGAACACTAATTAAGACAATTGGTTTCCAATAGGAACCAAACAAACCCAAACTCAAACCCCAACCCAAACCCAAACCCAAACCCAAACCCACCGGCCATAAGTCAGGTGTGACCCTAGTAGTACTAGTACTACTACTACTACTGTTACAGTTATCATAATTTCCAATACCACCTCCGCGACTGCTACCACTACTACTGCTACTGCTACTACTACTACTACTATTACTACTACTACTACTACTACTACTACTACTACTACTACTACTACTACTACTCGTTCCACCACTACGACGACTACCTTTGCTGCTACTACTACTAGTGTTTTTTATTTTACTATTACTATTGCTACTGTTACGTCTACGACTAGGACTACTACTACTATTACTACTACTACCACTACTACTACTACTGCTACTACTACGATTACGATTACTACGATTACTACTACGACTACTATTACTCCTGCTCCTGCTCCTGCTCCTGCTCCCACTACTACTACTTCTACTACTACTACTACGACGAGTACTATTACTAGTACTCCTACTGGTACAACGACGATGACGACGACGACTGTCGCTACTGCTAGTACAACTACTACTAACACTACTGCAACTTCTTCCTTTAATATTAGTGATATTAGAATTGCCACGACGGCGACTCCGCCTACTCCTGCTACTACTATGATTACCACTACTACTACTACTACTACTACTGCTACTACTACTACTACTACGGCTACGACCGCTGCTACGACTACTACTGCTACCACTACTACTGCTACTCATACTGCTACGACGACGACTACTACTACTACGACTACTACGACTACGAGGACTAGTACTAGTACTCGTACTAGTACTAGTACTACTACTACAACTACAACGGCGACGATGACGACGGCGACTGTTGCTACTGCTACAACAGTTACTAATACTACTGCTACTCTTTCTCTATGTATTACTACTATTACATTTACCACGACAAAGGCTCCTTCTACTCCTACTCCTACTCCTCCTACTACTACTACTACTACTATACTACTACTACTACTACTACTACTACTACTACTACTACTACTACTACTACTACTACCACTATATATATCTTATTACGACTACAACAGTTACGACTACTACTACTACTACTACTACTACTACTACTACTACCACTACCACTACCACTGCCACTACCACTACCACTACTACTACTACTACTACTACAACTACTACTACTACGACGGCGACTACTACTACTACGACTACTACGACTACTACGACTACTACGACTACTACGACTACTACGA